AATACAAAGTCCATTACAATGCCCCTAAAGCCCATGAAACCCACAAAACAAAAATCAAAATCTCACAAGATATTTTAGCCTTCTCCCATTAAGATAATGTAAGATTTTGAGTAGATAAACAAAATCTCAGGTTTTTAAAAATGCTAGATGTATTTTGATATATTCATTTATTATTTTATTTTATTTATTTATTTTGTCAATCACACATTTGATAATATATGTATAAGTATAAACATGTTTAGTAATACATGAAATATACGAATAAAACAAACATTAAGGCAGGGACAGTAAGCACTGATGTATTGATGAATCCAATGTGTTGATGTATCCAACATGAAAAAAAATTGCTGATATCATTTCTAATCCACTTCATCTGCCAGTCATTATGATCCACACTTAAATTTAGTTCTTGTACCTTCCTTATTTTGTTTTATTCACTGCACTTTATATTCTTCTCCCTAAAAATATAGACTACTGGACTCCTTTACATATGATGATGCTAACTTGTAATTTAAACACAGAATGACTCTGTTTTTATTCCCTTAATTTTAAAATACCACTATTGTGAAGCACTTCTAATGCCAACTCTAGTAGTGCCATTACCCTAAAGAATAATAAAATTACAGAGTTAGAAGGGACCTTGGAGATCTTCTAGAATCTAGTCCAACCCCTTGCCCAAGCAGGAAACCCTATACCATCTAAAAGAAATTATTGTCCAATCTCTTCTTAAAAACCTCTAGCAACAGAGCACCAAAACGTCTGAAACCACTAATTATTATCACCAAATTAAATTAATTTTTTCCTTAAGTCTAGGATGGTTATCTTTGATAAGTTTCCATCCCTTACTTTTTGTCTTGCCTTCAAATGCTTTGAAGATTAGATTGACTTTTTCTTTGCCCCTTAGATATTGGAAGATTGCTATTGTATCATATCACCCCTTCACTATATATTCTCAGTTGCCACAACCATTCTTCATATTTGAGCTTCCAATCCCTTTGTTGCTTGTTCTTTGTTCTTCTCTGCACCATCAAGAGTTTCAACACCTTTTTGGTACTGTGATGACTGAAACTGGACACAGCATTCCAAGTGTAGACTTACCAACGCATTATGAAGTGGTACTTACACTTCACATTATCTTGATTCTATTCTTCTGTTGATGCAGTTTAGAACCGATTGGTTCTAAGATCCCGCTCCTAGATCCCTCTCACAATTACTGCTATTGAGCCAGGTACCATCTATTTTATATGTATGCATTGCATCTTTCTTGCATTAAGTGGATAACATTACTTTTCTCATCACTTAATTTCACTTTGTTAGATAGAGCCCAGGTTTTAACTCTGTCAAGATCCTTCTGGATCTTGAGCCTATCTTCTAAAGTTGTGACTATTCTTCACAGTTTGCTGTCATCTGCAAATTTGATGAGTTCCCCTTTTATCCCTTCATCTAAATTGTGTATGAAGATACTGAAGACTACTGGGCCTAAGATAGAACTTTGGAGTATCACATTGAATGTTTTTGTCCATGTAGATGTAGTTCCATTAAGGACTACATGTTGAATGCAGTTAATCAGCTAGTTATGAATCCATCCAATGGTGCTATTGTCAAATTTCATTTTTCAATCTTATCAAATAGTAAGTAATGGTCTATTTTACCTTACTGAAGTCCACAGCATTTTGCTGGTTCACTAATGTAGTTACCATGTTTCTCCGAAAATAAGATCCAGTCTTATTTTTTGAGGGAAGAGGGGAAAATAAGCACCAGGTCTTATTTTCAGGGAATGTCTTATCCACTTACCTTAGGACTGCCATAGCCAGGCCTCACATGCCTGGACACCAGTTGCGTCACTTATCGTACCTGTGCTGCCTCTTGCAAGAGTCTGCATGGCGTGTTGTGCCATTGTGCACGCGAGCGGCCTCATGCAACATCCTGCCACAAATGGCTGCAAGCAGCCATGGAAGTCAGGAAGCAGCACAACAGATATCAGGGCATGGGAAGCCTGGCTGCAGCGGTCCTAAGGTAAGCGGTTGTAGGGCGCATGAGCAGCTCCACCCTCCCAGCTTAATTTTTACACATTCACCCTGCCCTCTCATACAACCAGATCATGCACAGGGCTTAACTATGTCTTATTCTTGGGGTAGAGCTTATATTAGGCACAGATGTGAAAAATAGGGCTAGTGCTTGTTTTGGGGGTAGGTCATATTTTCAGGGAAACATGGTACTTTCTCAAAGAATACAAGGTTTGTCTGACATGGTCTGCTTTTGACACACTCATGTTGGCTTCTACAGTCCTTGAGTTATGAATGTAATGGAGCCCGCAAATTCCATTCGTACCTTGAGGATTCACTCCCTGCTTTCACCCAGATCATTCCGTTTTCGCCCACGCATTCACTAATTTAATGAATGGGGAAACGCGTGGTTCATTAAATGCATGTGGTATCTTAGGGTGGGGAAGGCCATGGGGGGGCGTGATGGAACAGGCCCCCAGGGCCTCCCCCACCCACTAAAATATCTTATGCTTCCCCCTCTCTTCCGTGCCGGACTCACTTCCCTTACAAAGATATGTTTCCTCTCTGCCACAGTTTCTTTCACTTTGAGGGAGAGAGTTGATGGAAAAGTGTTTGTGGTGCTTGTTTCATACTCCTAGCCCATCCTCCAACTTCTTTCCACCACCCCTGGGACACTTTTTGCCCAGATGGGAGATCTGATGGTGACTGGAAGCTTCATCTGCATGCAAATGGAGCCTTTAAAAACAGAGGGATTCACTCCATTTTGAAACACTCCACAGGAGCCTATGAGGCCTTTGAAAATGGAGGGATTTGTTGTGTTTTGATACACCCTATAGGCGCCTTTGAGTCCTTTGGAAACAGAGGGGTTTGCTCTATTTTCAAAGGCCTCATAGGTGCCTATCCGGGTTTCAATATGGAGCAAATCCCTCCATTTTTAAAGGCCCCATTTGCATGCTGATGAAGCTTCTGTTTTCCAAAGACATTCTTCCCACTTCTTTTGAGGTGTAGCCTTACCAAAAGTCACCCATACAAGTATTGGAGACAGTAGTCTAAGAATCCAAAGTTCTCTAAATGGAACTATCTCCTAAGCCAGTGATTTACTTCAAAATTGAATCCAGGTAGGCCTCAACATACAATAATTCATTTAGTGACTATTCAAAGTTACAACAGAATGGGAAAAAGTGCCTTGGGTCCCTTTTCAAACTTATGACTGTTGTAGCAATCCTATGGTCATGTGATCAAAATTCAGGTTCTTGGCAACTTGCTCATATTTATGACCCCAGTTGTCCTGGGATCATGTGATCACCTTTTGTGACCTGCCAAGCAAAGTTAATGGGGAAGTCAGATCTATTTAACAACTGTATTACTAACCCGAATAGTATGACACTTGATTGCCTCCTGAAAATAGGTGTTTAAAAAACCCCATTATTTTATTTAATATGAATGGTTTACATCTACCAGTACTCTAGTTTATATAGGTACAGTGGTTGTACAATCAACCTCAAATATACAACAAAGGTAAACACTTTTTACCTATTGTAGAAACAATACTTTACAAAGTTTCTGGTGCATAAATGAATTCATCAATTGTAAACTGTCTTTTTAAATCTTAAGGATTTTCAACTAAAAGTTTATTTACCCCAAAATTGGACAACTTTCCTAAAACTATTAAAAGTAAAGCAAACATGAAAACATTGAGATCAGTTGTGGATTAATTTTAACGATCTTTCAATCCCTTGCACACAACCCACAGACCCTAGGACAGGAATGGAAGAAAGAAAAATATTTTACCTGATAGAAAAAGACATCCTTCCGATCAGTGCCTTCAGTGGCAAATTCCTCTACAATACCTTCAGGGCTAATACCATGTTCAGCGCAGAGCTGTTTCCAAAATTCAAACCCAACTGTAAATGCATAAAGTACAAAATTAGGTGGTTTTTTTGTATCCTACTAGAATCAGAGTGAAATGGTTTCAAGAGGCAATGGAGAAATATGGTTTTTATTAAGAATTCCACATCTGGTATGACAGTATTATTTTTGACATGGTTCTTATGCCATTTCCTATACTATAGAAACCTGGAATTGCCTCAATTATGTTTTGCTCGATTAACAGCCAAGGCAGAACAGAATTTAATGTTCTATTTTTAAAAAATATATTGCATGGCACTTTCTTCTCCTTTGAGGGACGACCTACCTTCTTTTCAAAGACTTCTACCCACAAACCAAGTTCTGATTCCACTGCGAGATTATATATATTATATATATATATATAATAATAGGCCTGATGATGGCAGATGAGATTCTGCCAAACGTCGCTACTTTAAAAGCACAACTATAATGAACTGGGAAAATACTTAAACAAAGCTGAATACCATACATATAGAAGCTGAATACCATACATATAGATAAAACTTCACCCACACCCATATATATATATATATATACACATACATACAAACACACACACAT